TGACTTTCCTTGGCAGCCTATTTGTAGTCCTTTTGTTTGCCCCTTTGAGATAAGCCTGCGTGAATTCCTCTTCCAGAGAGCAGTGTCTTCCTTCTTCCTTTCCTTATGTGAGAGTTCCTTTGTGGAGTGAAGAAGAGTGAGTAAACATGGGAGATGTTGTGGCCTAGCCCTAGAGGGTGTGTGTGAGTTTAGTCTAGAGTGGTTGGAGACCTGAGCCGGAGACGGATACGATCCTAACAGTGGTATCAGAGAGGGTTCTGCCGTCTGCCGCCGCCCACCGCCGTCGTCTGCCGCCATCCGTCGATTCGAGGTCCTGGAGGTCATCGGTCGTCCGTGAAGCTTCGCTTGGTGCCGTTGCTTCCTGTTCGCTTCCAATCTGGTTCCCGTCATCGGGAATTTCAGCCGTCATTTCCGGAGCTCGTAGGTGGATGTCGCCGCCGGTTGCCTAGGAATCCACGCCTGAAGCTGCTGTCGCCTGAGAGCCACTGACCATGGTCGCTCGTGGCTGGACCCGCTCGTCCATCGAAGCCAACACCTGCAGCCTTCGTTACTCGCGCGTCGTTTACCCAGTGTGGTCGCCGATTACAGGGACGAAGGGGATTGGGCCCCTGTGCTTCTAGGCTGGTGTTATTGGGCTTCTGGATTTTGGCTTACTGGGTTGCTGCATTACTGGGCTTCTGGGCTAGTGGACTGCTGAAGCTGCTGGTCTACTGGAGAAGCAGGACTGCTGCTGGACCTGTGCTGTTGGGCCGCTGGACTGACCTGCTGGAGTTGTTGGAGCAGCTGGACCGCCGGTCAACGCCGGTCAACGCCGGTCAATGCCGGTCAACAGTAAGAAAAATCCCAATTTTTTAAATTGGGTAGGTAAGGTCGAAACCCTCTCCTAGGGTTTCGCTAAGGTAAATTGGCTATAAACACCCTAGGTGCACCGGGTGCCTCCGGATTTAATTTTAATCCCCCTCCCCGCGGGCCGCCGGTAGATTGTATCCTGGCCACCAACCCCCCAGGTGCGTTTGCTAAACCCTCTCCTTTGTGGCAGATTGTTTTAGTGTGTTAATTAAATTGCCAAGTGTTATTTAATTCATTTGTTATGCGTAGAGGTGGTTTATTGGGGGTTAGGGGTAGAATTAATTAATGTTAACTGCTGCCCGGAGTTGTTTTATGTGCCAAACTGACCATATTTGCTATTTGTTGCTTGCTGCCCGGGGTTATTAAAGTGTATACTTTATAGCCCAGGTTGGATTAGTTTCTGTCAAATTTGTCTGTTTAGCTTTGTGTTGTTTTGTGGTTGATACCATGGCTGCTAATCAGTGTGGTATGCTTCCATTTAATGGAAAAACAGATTTTGATATTTGGAAACAGAAAATTAAGTGTGTGTTAATACAACAAAAAGTTTTTAGAGCTGTCACTGGTATTTTCCTTGAATCAGAAGATAAGGCTAAGCAAATTGAAATGAACGAAACTGCTTGTTCTACTATTTACTTGAATCTGTCTGATTCTGTGCTTAGGAAAGTGGGTATTCTTGAGTCCGCTAAGGAATTGTGGGAGAAATTGGATAGTCTCTATACTGATACCTCTTTGCCCGGGAAGTTGTTTTTACTTGAGAAATTCTTTAGGTTTAGGCTTGACCTGACTAAGGATATAGATGAGAACCTGGATGTGTTTAATAAACTGATACAGAATATCAAACAGGCAGGTGATAAACACATAGACGATTATACTCCCATAGTATTACTTAATGCCATTCCCGACTCTTATAATGATGTTAAGTCCGCTATTAAGTATGGTAGGGATGAGATTTCGTTAGATATTGTTGTTAATGGGTTAAGGAGTAAGGAATTAGACCTGAAGCATGCTAGGGGTAGTGCTAGTCAGTCCAGGGACTCCGGTGAGGCTATGTTTGTTAGAGGTAGATCTAAGGGTAGGTCTAAGAACTCTAAGCAAAATAGTCAAAGTAAGAACACTAGTCAGCCTGGGAGAAAGAGGAGCAAATCTAGGAAGAGAGTGTGTTACAATTGTGGTAACGCTGACCATTTCATTAAGGATTGCCCTAAACCTAAGAAGACCGAGCATGCTAGTGTAGCTGTTGATAAATGTGACCTTGGTGATATTTTGATGGTTTGTGACCATGTTAATTCTGTGCGTAATTCCCTGTCTGAGCATGAATGGTTGATTGACTCTGGTTGTACCTATCACATGTCCCCCTTTAGAGATTTGTTTTCTACATATGAATTATGTGATAGTGGCTATGTTTCCTTAGCTGATAATAAGAGATGCAATGTGCTTGGTGTGGGTGATATATGTCTGAAGTTTTCTTGTGGCTCTGTGTTTACCATTAAGAATGTGAGGCATGTCCCTGATTTGTGTCATAACTTGTTATCTGTTGCTGCTTTGGAGAGTAGTGGTTTACAGGGAAAATGGGGGAATGGTTGCATGAAAATCTTGAAAAATTCTCTTGTGTTGTTTAAAGCTGAGAAGGTGAATAACCTTTATGTGTGTCATGCTAAACCTTTTACTGAGTCTGTGAATGTTGTATGTTCTGATAAGACCTCTTTGTGGCATAATAGGCTAGGACATATGAGCAATAAGGGTTTAGATGTCATGCGTAGGGCTTGTTATTTTGGTAAGGACTCTGTGACTTCTGTGCCTTTCTGTGAATCATGTGTGTTAGGCAAGCAGCATAGAGTCAACTTCCCTCCTTCCTCTTACCCTAATCTGTCTAAGTGTTCGTCTGTGCTTGAATATGTTCATGCCGATGTTTGGGGTCCTGCCAGTGTTCCTACCCACGGGGGTAGGAAATATTTCCTTTCTATTATTGATGATTTCTCTAGGAAGGTGTGGGTTAGCCTTTTAGAACACAAGTCTGATGTGTTTGTGAAGTTTAGGGAGTGGAAAACCCTAGTTGAAAACCAAACTGGCAGGAAGGTTAAAACCCTTAGGACCGATAACGGGTTAGAGTTCTGTAATAAGGAGATGGATAAGCTGTGTGTGGATTATGGGATAAAAAGGCACAAAACTGTGCCTTATACTCCCCAACAGAATGGGATAGCAGAGAGAATGAATAGATCTCTGTTGGATAAGGTTAGAAGCATTTTAGCTACCTCTGGTTTGTCTAAGAAATTCTGGGGTGAAGCAGTTACTACTGCTGCCTATTTGGTGAATAGGTCCCCGTCTGTCCCACTTGGTGGTAAATGTCCTGAAGCCGTCTTTACCGGTAAGCCTCTTGATCTGTCTAACCTTCGGGTGTTTGGTTGTGCAGCGTATGCACATCAACAGGGTGACAAGTTGGATCCTAGGTCTAAGAAATGTGTCTTCCTAGGTTATCCAGAGGGGGTAAAGGGTTACAGGTTATGGGATAGGAACCAGGTAGGCTTTAAGGTGGTCCTTAGCAGAAATGTGGTGTTTAATGAAACTGATTTTCCTTGCTTGACCGAGTCTGTTTCTAATCCTGAGTCTAGGTCAGATAGTACTCCTAGTGAGGTGGAGTTTGTCCCTGTTGCTGCTAGTCCTTTATCTGTTGATCCTGTTATTACTGATGATATTGTTATGCATGATTCTGATTCATCTGAGCATGATAGTCCCACCACCTCGAGTGAGGTGGAACATTTGCATGATACTGAGCATGATTTGCATGACATGGGTGCTGAATCTGATTTTCATGATAACAATAACTTGCATGAGTTGCATGTGGAGCCTAGTAGTGATAATTTGCATGATTATCAACTTGCTAGAGATAGGGGTAGAAGGGCTATTAGGAGAACTGCTGATAGTATGCCTGATTATGCTTTCATTGTGCATGATACTTCTATGTTTGCTTTTTCTGTGTTTGAATCCCTAGAGCTGAATGAACCCAAGACCTACCGTGAAGCCTTAGGTTCCAAAGAGTCTCAGAAATGGATTAGTGCCATGAAAAGTGAGATGGACTCTTTGAGAGTGAACCAGACTTGGACCCTTGTACCTAGACCCCCCAACTGTTCGGTAGTTGAGTGTAAGTGGTTGTTTAAGGTTAAGGAAGAACCTAGTGATGTTAGGTTTAAGGCTAGGTTGGTTGCGAAGGGGTTTACTCAAAAAGAGGGTGTAGATTATGCAGAAATCTTTGCTCCTGTTGTTAAATTCACCACTATTCGTATGATGCTTGCTTTAGTTGCTCACCATGACTGGGAAATGAAACAAATGGATGTAACTACTGCTTTTCTGCATGGTGAATTGGACAAAACAATTTATATGACCCAGCCTGAGGGATTTGTGGATCCCAAGAGAAGTGAGCATGTCTGTTTGCTTAGGAAGGCATTGTATGGCCTGAAGCAATCCCCTAGGCAGTGGAACATCAAATTTGATAAATGCATGATATCTTTGAAGTTTCAAAAATCTGTTTGTGATCATTGTCTGTATTTCAAAAATACTTCTTCTGTGCCTGTATTTTTGTTACTCTATGTGGATGACATGCTGATAATTAGTCCTTCTCTGAATGCTATTAAAGATGTGCAAAAATGCCTTTGTGCGAATTTTGCCATGAAAGACCTAGGTGATGCCAAGAGGATCTTAGGCATAAACATTGTTAGGGATAGGAGTAAGCGCACTCTTACTTTGAATCAGATTTCTTACATAGAAAAAGTTTTGAGTAAATTCAATATGTTATCTGCTTCTCCTATTAATGTCCCTATGGCATCTCACTTTGTGTTAAGTAAGGACCAGTCTCCCAAGACTGCTCCTGAAATTGAGAAAATGAAATATGTGCCATATTCCAGCGCAATAGGGTCGGTTATGTATCTTATGGTTAGCACTAGACCTGATATTGCATATGCGGTTAGTTGCTTGAGTAGATATATGTCCAACCCTGGTTTACCCCATTGGAATGCTCTTAAGTGGTTGCTTAGATATCTGATTTCTACTGTGAAGCATGGATTAATTTTCTCTAAATGTGCTAGTGGTATTGAATTGATTGGTTATGTTGATTCTAACTATGCAAATGATAGAGATAACAGGAAGTCGACCACTTCTTATGTTTTTACTTTGTGTGGCTCTTGCATTAGTTGGAAGTCTCAACTACAGCCTATTGTGGCCCTTTCTACCACTGAGTCCGAGTATGTTGCAGCCACAGAAGCGTTTAAGGAAGCCATCTGGCTCAAACGCATTGTCTCCGAAATTGGGTTTCTCAAAAAGGGAGTTACCATTTTCTCGGATAGCCAATCGGCTATCCAACTTTGCAAAAATCCTGTATTTCATGATAGAACTAAGCATATTGATGTTAGGTTCCATTTCATACGTGATATTATTGATGCAGGTGGAGTCAAGCTGTGCAAGATCCCTTCAGAGTTTAACCCTGCGGATATGGGTACCAAGTGTCTTTCTGCTGAGAAGCACTTGTCCTGCAAACGCATGTTAAACTTTGACTGTGGATAACTGTGGGTTGCGTAATAAAGTGTTTGCCCGTTTTATCTGTTGATATTCCGGGTGACCCGGCGATGATGAGTCTCCTCACAACCTGTTTTGCTACTCTACACCACCTAGGACCAATAAGGTGGAGAATGTTGGAGGTATTGGTCCTACCAAGGCCTCCCTTCCACTTTATTATTAAGGCTTGCACCCCATGTTTACTCCCACTTTGATTCCCTTAGTTGAAATCACTCATTGGTGCCTGTTGACTTACAATATGTGAGCCCCCTTGTTTTTTGTTGTTGTCCGCTGCACCTCCTGTCTGGCAGCCTGTGACACCTTGTTGATAAGCCTCACCCGTGACTTTCCTTGGCAGCCTATTTGTAGTCCTTTTGTTTGCCCCTTTGAGATAAGCCTGCGTGAATTCCTCTTCCAGAGAGCAGTGTCTTCCTTCTTCCTTTCCTTATGTGAGAGTTCCTTTGTGGAGTGAAGAAGAGTGAGTAAACATGGGAGATGTTGTGGCATAGCCCTAGAGGGTGTGTGTGAGTTTAGTCTAGAGTGGTTGGAGACCTGAGCCGGAGACGGATACGATCCTAACACGGATATCCATGAAAGGCCAAATTCCGTAAACCGCACCCCACACTATCTCACGAAACCCCTTCGGTAGCCATAAAGGGTGAGGAATCCGACCTCTCTTCACAAAGGCCGGCAAACATGAGGTCATCAAATCTCCCATAACTGACCACGGCCGATCTCCTCCCAAGCTCAAAGATTTAAGGGTATCTCGAGACTCCCTTCGTCTTCCTCTTTTCTTACAACCATAAAAACCAGTGAACCGCCAGCTAGGTGAACCCTCCTCTAAAAAGACTTGGACATCAAAAAACTGATTTGAGGATCCCACAATCTGGGCACGGGCCCCCTCTTCCCCATAACAACGCAAGCCCCCCTCTGTGGCTGACGTTTTCCACCACAAAACATTGCTCCAACCCAACTTTCCTCATAACAAACTCCGCATTGTTCATATTATCAAAGGTCTCTAAAAGAAAATCCACCGATGACCGCTTCAAGTGGACCACATCCACCAATGCATGAACTTTTGCCGGGTTGCCAAGCCCCCAACAGTTCCAACTAAGGCAACTCATTCCTCTCGACGAGCCTAAGAATCATATCCCGCCGCAACCTCGTTTTTTGGAAAAGTGATATCCATATCTTGTCCCTCTGAGGGATGCTCACTAAAAGTTTCTCGAAAAGTCTTACATTTTTTTTGTAGCCCCTCCATCACTCGGGACGGGAACTTCCACCGCATAATCCTCCCCATTGTCAGGGGCTGCTACACATCTCCCAGTAATGGCCACTTGATCCCCAACATTTCTAGCAATTTTCTCCGTAAAAAGCTCAAAGGGAAGATTGTAGGCTTGCACCCAGAACTGAGAATGATTTAGTGCTATGGACTTCGGATTGTCTGAAGGTACTAACCTGTGTAGCACCAAAAGAGAATTTTCATAGCACCAGGGACCATCCTCCCATACCTGCTCGAAATCGACCTTGCAATTGTTAAAGAACTAGAACATGAACCTGTGATCACCAAACTCCCGGATGTGCACACCCCCACTCGGACGCCATACATCTGCCATAGTATCCCTAACGAATTGGAATTTGATAGATTTGAGCGTGTGAAGCCCGCCTACCATGCATAGAGGCGCAGACGCGGGCGGATCCTCTGCCATCACTGCATCGAGATCAACTCCTTCATCATCTTCATCTTCGAGACTCAACGTGGCGTACCAGTCTTCCATGTCACTGCCATGTAAACGGAATGCAGAATCAAGCATCGAAAGCGCTACGTGAACCATAGAATAAGAAGCGTAAACAAACGGTGGAATAATGGTAAAACCATATATAGACTACTAGGGAGGGTTGTTAACTCTAAACGTGTAACTACACACACAAACTACACTACTAGAAAAGGTCATAATAGAGAGGAAGGGGAAAGGAAATTAATTTTCTATGTAATTTACAAAGGAATTCTGGGAGGAATTTGGTATGATTGACTAACGGATGAATTAGCTAAGAACTTTAGTCATTTGAGAGGAACTTTTTTTCCTATCTACCAAAATCAAAAATAAATAAAATAAATACTCATATTAGATAGGAACTTTATTCCTTCTTACACAATAATAGCAATTGAAAGGGACGGCTCCCCTCTCTATTCATATTAGATAGGAACTCATAGATAGGGACCACATTTTGACATGCATAAGAACAACCGTACACACCTTATGGTGGAAAATTCAATACATTTTTTTGATTAGTTAATTCCTGCATTTAATTTTTTGAGCTACCTACATTAATATCTGCACCAACACAAATGTACACCTTATCTTCCGGTTTATTTCCCTGCTGCTCGATAGATCTTCTTTCAGCTCCAATCCAATGCCGTCTTGTTCGATCCGGTTAGTTTTCATATTCTTCCTTTGATTTTATTTTTTGTTCATTAATTTTCCAATTATTTTATGTATGTCTAGAACTAAATAGTTTAGTGTTTGACTGTTTGTATGATTCAATTGTGTTCGGTTGTTACTCTGTATTTTGTAGTTGTAATTTTTCTCTCTCGAAATTCACTATTAATAATACTACTATTATTGTTATCGTTGTTGATGTGAAACTTTTGTCTAATTCATGTTCACTTGTAAGTTATTGTTTTTAAATTTAAAGTGTACGATCTATTAATATTTATAAATAAACATACAATAGCCAAACACATAATTGCCATATCCCATATACAGAGCATTAAATATGGAAATATCAAATGTGAAGTTCAAATAAGTTAACAGACCGTTTGGTAACACAGAAATCGGCTGAATTGCCAGATTCTGCTAAGATTTATGAAGTTCTGGCTGAAGTGACTATATTGGCCGGTTTAGCTGATTCATAACAAAATTGTATTTAAAATATACGTTATTAGTAAAATAAAGAAAAAATTGTACATAAAATAGCTAAAATGGTCATCTCAAGTAAATTCAGCCAATAGAGCCAAAAACTAATTCTAACCTTACCTTTTATTATTATTATACAGTTCAACGCGCGAAATCAGAATTTATGTGTTTGCTTAAAAAGTTGGCTTATAAGCCTGGAAACATGAAAAATAGAGTCATCAAACGGGCTCTAAATGTATAAAAATTGTTATAACAATAATCAGGGCCGTTTTTAGGGGGTTCAATAGGTTATCCAGAACAGGGCCCCCGGATTAATGGGGCCCCAAATTTTTAAAAATTTATTAGTATTATATAGTAACATTATATATTAATACTAATCAGTAAAATACAGCTAGCTAGTAAAGAAGAAAAATATATATCTATCATTTTTTTGTTGGTCCTTTTACTCTGTTCGTTCTCTTCTAATGAGTATTTAATTGATTTGAGTATAAGTATTTAGTTTATATAAATGAGGGCCCCGATTTTTCATTTCGAACCGGGGCCTCCAAATTCATTTGACGGCCCTGACAATAATAATCACAATACTAAAAATAGTAATCATACACATAATATTTGTGTACTTGGTTTTATATTTCAGGATATAAATGGACATACGAAATGATCGACTTTGGATGTATAATCGCGTCAATCCTGGCAGGAAAGGATTAACGAATGATTTTAAGGTTGGGGTGGACCAATTTGTAGAGTTTGCATGTGCACAACCAGTGTTTATAGAGAACTCGGTAATTAAATGTCCTTGCAGGAAATGTAGAAATCGGCGCTACAAGAATCCTAGTGATGTTAAAGTTGACCTTTACAAGTGGGGGTTTGAGGAAAACTACTGGCATTGGACTTCTCACGGTGAAGAGATCCCACATTTAAGTGAAAGTGATAATGATATGGCACATGATGATGGTGTGGAAGCAAATGGCATGTATGAAGAAATGATACACGATACTTTCGGGCCGGGTTCTTTCTCTAGTAATCAAAATCAAGAATCTGAAGGTTCACATGAAAGTGCAAAAAACTTTTATGAGTTGCTCAATTCTGCGCAACAACCATTATGGACAGGTTGTGCAGCAGATACAGAATTATCTTTTACGCTAAAGATAATGAGTATTAAGTCATCATATAACATTGCGCAACAGGCCATAGATGAGATATTAGATGTTTGTAGTCTAGCAATGCCATTACCAAATAAGGTTCCATCTAATTTTTACCAAGCTGAGAAGTTGATTTCTAAGCTGGGGCTTGGTCACGATAAAATCGATTGTTGTATTAATGGTTGTATGTTGTACTACAAGTCTGATATTGGGTTGCAAGAATACAAATTTTGTGGTGAGAAGAGATTTAAATCTAGTAAGAACAAGACTTCAAAAGTTCCTCGAAAAAGGATGCATTACTTACCCCTTATTCCAAGGTTGCAAAGGTATGTGTTTCATCTTGAGTTTGATATGCTACTTGTTTCCTCTAGCTTTTATCCCCATAGATAAGTTTGTAATTAGAATCTCCTAATTGGGTTGTCAAATAATAAAAACTTGTCTTGTATCCAAAAAATCCTCGCTGCTTTTGTTTTCTCCAGTTTTCCAGTTGTTTGGTTGTAGTTGTGTATTTTGTGTACTTTATGAACAGTCCATTCTGGAGCTTCTCTAATTTCTCTGCTATAGCTGGATAATTGCAAAATTTGAGGGTATATGAAATGAAGTTATTTTAGTTTTCAAAAAAATTATTTCACGTGTACTCCAAAGTTATTGTTTGGAGTACTTGACTAAAGCAGGTTGTTGTTGGATTTGTAGTAATTTCACTTAAAAACTATGTTAACTATTTAAATCTATCCTTTTTGTTTGTCCCGAAAGTGAAATGTTAACAGTTTGCTGAACTTTTATCCACTGTATCCATATATCCAGTTTTTTCAGGTAATAAAGATTTTAGCAAAGTAATTGTTTACATAATCCAATATACTTCTAGCGGGTTCTTAATTTATTTAATTCATCTATTTAATATACTAGTTATCTGATTCAGATGGTACGTATTTCTCTTGACAAACAAGTGGAGAACATTCCCGGAACCATCAATCTTCCACCCCCGGTTAACACAGATCAACTATGGCTTGCACGTGATGCTAGGATCTCTAGAGCATCTCCATCTCATAATACAAGTTCATCAAATACCTCTTCCTTCAACAGATCTCCGTCTCCGGACAGGACAGCTGACTCCGATGCTTCGACGCGAATTCAATCTCAATCTCAATACAATAAGATTGAGATTGTTCCTGATGGCACTTCTGGGTAATTTTATTAAGAACTATTATTGGTGTTTTACTGTGATAAAACTAAAATTTACCAGAATGATGACATTGAAATTGTTTTGTTACAAAGTAACTTAGCTTGGATGTTATCAAGTCTGAATCCTATTTTGTATATCAAACTAAACACACAAATTGTTTGAAAGAACATGTTCATACATTATTGCCATGTGTTTGAACAGATTTATTCCATGTTCTGCAAACCGGTATGTGATAGGCACTAGTTGTTAGTGCCTAAGTATACATTTTTATTATTGTTTGTAATGTTTATTTACTAGTTTTGTGCAAGTTTATAGTTGTTAGTTTGCATTTGATTGTAATCGTATTTCTAGCATTTTATTGTTTGTTGTAAGTTGTAGATAGTTTGGCTATAAGTTTAGGATAGGTTTGGAAGCAAAAAGGATGAAGAAACCTGAGTTTTGTGCAAAACCCGGTCGGGTATGGACTTTACCCGGCCGGGTATGAAGTGACAAAGGAAACTGCTGCAAAACTAGCAAATACCCGGTCGGGTATTCCATATACCCGGTCGGGTATTCTGTGATTTCGGACCAAAGAACGTGCAGAAGACACAAAAACATGGGGAAATATTTGATTTGGTAAATACCCGGTCGGGTATGTCAAAATACCCGGCCGGGTATCCGGCATTAGGTGTTGAAAACACCTATAAATAGCCCCATTCTCTTTCACATTTCATCATCCCTTCTTCCATACTCTTCAGCTCAGTTTAGAATAGCATTTCTTTATATTTTTCTAGCTATGTTTAGTCTCCAAATGAGGAGCTAAACTTCCATTCTTGGTGTTGCTCTTGAAGTTTGTTGATTATTAAAGTTGTGAGTTATTTTCTTAAACTTCTTTCCTTGAATATTAATTAATAGTTCTTTCCTTAATACCATCTCTATATTAATGTTGGGGAGTGTTGCTAAGATGACAATTAGTTAACATCTCGACATTAGTTAGAATGGTATTTTCTTCCTCTATATTAATATTGAGGAGTGTTGCTAAGATGACAATTAGTTAACATCTTGATATTAATTATAGTAGGATTCATCTTCATTAATAATATTCTTCCTTGAATATTAATTAATTCCTACTCTTATTTCATATTAATATTTTGAACATCACTTAAAGGATCAACTAGTTTTGTTTCATATATAAATTATTACTAGAAACGATCAACGAACCGATGGTTAATCGTTGATGGTTTCACAAGTAAGTAACTTCGGTTTATTAATGCACGGTCGTGGTTAATAAACTTAAGAGGGATTAATTTTGTTGGTTAAACCGAAACCGCTTGTGTTATCAATCTCAATTGATTTCATCAAGGAGTTAGAAAGATTAAATGCTACTATTAAATCGGTATAAGGCGTTGTTCTATATTTGATTAATAGTAAGGGTTATTAATGAACGGTCGTTGTTAATAACTACCCTCGATGAAGTGGATATACTCCCCGATTGAGTATTCGAGAGGGAATAAGTTATAGATATAACAATGATCGACTAAAATATATCAACAAGTGGAAAGTAGCAATGCCAAGTCTTTTTATCTTTGAATTAAACACATATAGGTTGTTCATCTTAGTTCTTAATTGAATTAAATCACTCAAACCAAAACCCCCCTTTTAATTACTAGTTTCATAGAAAGAAAATCATTCCTTTCCCTGTGGATACGAACTCTACTACGCTATACTACGTATAAGTGTTTAGTATTGAAAATTATTTTGACGCACCGTGACAAAGTGCTCGTCAAATTTGGCGCCGTTGCCGGGGAAAGGCAATTAATTTTTCTTTTATTTCATATCAAGAAAAAATCAAAAAAATATATATACCAAACAAAAATATAAAGAGTGTTTATTTTTCTATTTTCTGAGCTTAGTGGAGTTTATGGTTAAACATCGTTCCATAAACGAAATCACATATCACAAAAACCCAGAAATAGAACAAACTTTCGAGCGGTTGAAAAGTAAATTTTCTAACACCGACTCGGAAGAATCATCTTCCAGAGATTCATACACCGCTAGCTCTAGTTCTAGCGACACCGAAGAGCCAACCACAATGGCTCTTGAAACAAGAACACTGAGGGAGCTCACAGCTCCAAACCTCAACCAACAACCACTGTGTATTACGTTTGAGCTAAAATCTGGGCTCATTCATCTGCTGCCATCCTTCCATGGCCTGAGAGGAGAAGACCCGAACAAACATTTATCGGAGTTCCACGTCGTTTGCACAAGCATGTGCCCAAACGGTGTGACAGAAGAACAAATCAAATTGCGGGCATTTCCATTTTCACTGAAGGATACCGCAAAGGATTGGCTATTCTATCTTCCTTCAGGAAGTATAGGAACATGGGCGGCCATGAAGAAAGCGTTCCTGGAAAGGTACTACCCTGCCTCTGTTTCATCCTCTCTAAAAAAACAAATTAGCAACGTGGAGCAGAAGGATGATGAATCGTTCTACGAATATTGGGAACGATTCAAGAAACTGTGTGCAAGCTGCCCTTATCATGGCTATTCGGAGAAAGACCTCATTTTATATTTCTATGATGGTCTTTGCAATGAAGATAGGCGGATGATAAATGCCGCATGTGGAGGAGGGATTGTCAACAAGACCCCTTCTCAAGCTACAAACCTCATCTCGGAGTTGGCCGAGAATTGTAGGCACTATGATCGGCGATCAACAAAACGAGTTTTGGTGGCAGAATCCAACAACTCATTGGAAAGTCAAGTAGCCGGCTTGACTTCTTTGGTTAAAGATTTTCTCTTAAATCCGAAACCTCAAGAAGTCAAGGTCTGCGGCATATGCTCGACACAAGGGCACCCCACCGACTCTTGCCCGACACTACAAGAGGAGAACGTTGAACAGATCAATGCTTTGGGTTTCCAAAATCAAAAGAGGTATAATCCTCAAAGCAACACCTACAATCCGGGATGGAGGGATCATCCTAATTTAAGGTACGGAAACTCTCAACCCCCTCAACCATCAAATCCTCCTCCTCCACAATATAAACAACAAGGCCAAACTTCTAACTCGAATATGTCAACCGAAGACATGATTCGATCACTTGCCATGAATATGGCAACAATGCAACAAAGTGTGGTTCAATTCCAAGAAACAACAAAATCCAGCATCCACAACTTGGAAAACCAAATCAGCCAAATCTCAAATGCCGTGAGTAGGCTTGAAGCTAAGGATTCGGCAAGGCTACCATCTCAAACGGAGCCGAATCCTAGGCAACAAGCCCATGCAGTCACATTACGGAGTGGCAAGGAGTTGGTTATTGCCAAAGAGAAGGCAAAGAGCCACATTGGCGAAGAAGAGGAAGAAGAGGAGCTGGTGGAAGTGACTCAACCGGAGGTGGAAGCTCAAATCCCAACCCCACCACCGGTCATTCCCGAGATTGAAGCACCCTTCCCCGAGGCTCTAAGGGAAACACGGAAGCTGGAGAAGGACAAGGACATCTATGAGACATTCTCCAAATGTGAGGTAAATATCCCTCTCCTTAACTTGATAAAGGGTGTTCCTAGATTCGCAAAATTTTTCAAAGAACTATGTACAATAAAAAGGAAACATAGACTCAATGGAAAACAAAAAGTCCAAGTTAGTGAACGTATTTCGGCAGTTTTTCAAAAGAAACTTCCAAAGAAATACAATGACCCGGGCATGTTCACTATACCTTGCAAGTTGGGAGGAACTACGTTTTCAAAAGCCATGCTCGATTTAGGAGCATCAATTAATGTCATTCCTTACTCTTTATACAAATCACTTGAGCTTGGCCCTTTAAATGAAACCGGAGTAGTCATTCAACTTGCGGATAGATCAAATGCCTACCCTAAAGGTATTGTCGAAGACGTACTAGTTATGGTTGACAATTTGATTTTCCCCGCTGACTTTTATGTTTTGGAAATGGAGAATGATAAGAATGCGGTACCTATCCTTTTAGGAAGGCCATTTTTAAAAACCGCTAGAGCAAAGATTGACGTATTTAGCGATTCTTTAACAATGGAATTTGATGGGGATAAAGTTGAATTCAACATTTATGACTCCATGAAATATCCAAATGAAAATCATTCTTTATTTGCCATTGATATTGTTGACCCCCTTGTACAAAATACTTTTGAAATCAATAAGGAAGACGAATTGTTAAGTATACTTGAAAATGACTTCGGGGAAAACTCTTCAGAACTTGCCTTGACCCCCAACACACAAGCTATGATAGTGGAATTGGATACTCACTTCCAACTCCCACTTATGCCACTGGGGTCTAGGGCATTTCCACTAACCATCCCCGAGGAAAAGCCTCTACCTTCAGTTTTGCAGGCACCCGACGTTGAGTTGAAACCACTCCCAACACATTTGAAATATGTGTTTTTGGGGGAAAAAGAGACACTACCGGTCATTATCTCAAACAAATTGACCGGAGAACAAGAAGGCAAATTGATAGCGATGCTCAAGGAGCATAAACTAGCAATTGGATGGACTATAGCCGACATCAAAGACATTAGTCCATCTATTTGCATGCATCGTATCTTAATGGAGGATGAAGCCAAGCCGGTACGACAGCCGCAACGAAGACTAAACCCACCTATGATGGAGGTGGTCAAAAAGGAGGTGATCAAACTACTCCAAATGGGGATAATCTTCCCCATCTTCGACAGCAAATGGGTTAGCCCAACCCAAGTGGTTCCAAAGAAGACCGGGGTCACGGTAGTGGAAAACAAACATGGAGAACTAATGCCCACCCGAATTCAAAATGGATGGAGGGTATGTATAGATTACCGTAGACTAAATGCGGTAACTAGAAAGGATTTCTTTCCTTTACCAAATGCTTGAGAGACTTGCCGTGCATAAGTTCTATTGCTTTCTTGATGGCTACTCCGGGTACTTTCAAGTGCCTATAGCCCCTGAAGATCAAGAGAAGACCACTTTCACTTGTCCTTTTGGCACTTTTGCATACCGACGCATGCCATTCGGACTTTGCAATGCCCCGGCCACATTCCAACGATGCATGATGAGCATATTCTCTGAATATGTTGAGCTATTTATGGAAGTCTTTATGGATGATTTTACAATCCATGGAGACTCATTTGATTCATGCCTACTTCATCTATCTCTTGTTTTGAAGAGTTGTTTAGAATCAAATCTTGTTCTAAACTCTGAAAAATGTCACTTTATGGTGGAGGAAGGAATTGTCCTAGGCCATGTGATCTCGTCCAAAGGAATAGAGGTGGACAAAGCAAAAGTGGAGGTTATTCAATCACTACCTTACCCTACCACCGTTAAGGAAATACGATCATTCCTTGGACATGCAGGTTTCTACAGGAGGTTCATCAAAGATTTCTCAAAGATTGCATCTCCTTTATGCACACTTTTGCAAAAGGAGGTGGAGTTCATATTCTCCGAGGACTGCAAGAAGGCCTTCAATGCTTTAAAGGAGAAATTAGTAACCGCACCTATCATCCAAGCCCTGGATTGGTCTCTTCCCTTTGAGATCATGTGTGATGCTAGTGACTATGCGGTCGGGGCCGTTTTGGGCCAAAAGGTGGGAAGAGCATCTCATGTGATCTATTATGCATCCACCACACTCAATGACGCCCAACGCAACTACGCCACCACCGAAAAAGAAATGTTGGCCGTCGTTTATGCGCTCGAAAAAATCAGGTCATATTTACTTGGTACCAAAGTGATCATTTACACCGATCATGCGGCTATTAGGTTCTTGATG